GGGGGCTCGGCCTCCGGCCCAGGAGGCACTGGCGGCGGGAAGGCGTCAGTCGGGGCTATGGGTGGGGGCGTGGGAGCTTCGAGCTCCGGGGGTGGCCCCAGCGGCAGCGGCGGAGGAGGCAGCGGCGGCCCCGGCGCGGGCACTAGCTTCCCGCCGCCCGGAGTGAAGCTGGGCCGTGAGTACTTAGGGGCGCCCTGTGGGGTGGTGATCTGGGTTTCCCAAGCCCGTCAAACGGCGATCAGATTCTTTCATGTACTCAGACAGAAGCTCGAGGTCACCGTGCTGCTTCAGGCTGGGATCTGAGCTCTCTGTCTTCCCAGATAAAGGAGTTTCGGGGTTACCATCACTTGGAGTTTAGAATCAGAATTACCAACATCCAAGAAACAGAGGTCACAGGCCCCATTCTTCCTGTATCCAGTATCAAGGTCTCGGGTACTTGACGACGTTGCCATCCACCAGAGAACAGGATCAGAGGTCATAGTACTTGCCAATGGTGATCTAGGATTATTGTCCCCTAAGAGACAAGAATAAGATCACAGCCACCATCCTATACAAAAAGGGGACTGTTCATTTCCTTTCCATCAGAAATGGGGATTTGGATTGAATCTCTTCGAAATACAGATTTAGGATTACTGATGTTCCCACAGAACAGGGCCAGGCTTAAAACATAAGGCCTGACATTACCACTTTACCCCATTGAAAATGTGTAGACTTGTGTCCCCGATGGGGACAGTATATAATCATTGCTGTTTATAAATAAGAACAGATTGGGAATAACATGGGCTTCAAATCCAGCTCCCCGGCAGTGTTCTTTTAAAAAAATGGGGGGGGGGGCCCTTTAGCAAAAATGGAACAGGATGGCATGGGTTACACCTACTATAAAATATGGGTTTGAAGTGGCTGTCTTTGGCTTTAAAAAAAAAAAAAAGCAATATAGGATTATTTTTCAAAATGTCACTCACTGCCCCCTCCCAATTAGAATTTGTTGATAAGTTTCCTAAAGGGAGTGGATGACTAGGAATGGCACCAAGGTTTGCTGCTCCTCAGAGACTGGGCACCAGGACAGAATATCCCCTAGCAGTCCAGGGGATCAGCTGCTCCATTCTCAGGTCAGGTGCTCCTCAGGACCACAGAGATGGAGAGGTCAGGCCAGTGCCCATCCCAATGCAAAGTGTTTGGTAACAGCAACAGCATCCCCATCCCTACCCCCAAGGGAGGGTCAGGGCATTGTCACTTCGATCGATCGGTTCATTTCTGTCACTCAGGAGCAGTGGTAATGGTCCTAACTTTGCTGGGGAGTGCCCTCTGACTGAGAATGGCCAAAGTTTTCCTGAAGAAAGAACACCCCATAGTTTCTATTCCTTTGAGTGGAAGATGGTACCATGTGCCTTGCCCTGCAGAAGGGGCCAAAGGCTGGGGAGCCCAGTGTGGCTGGATTCTATACCTGAGGTGTTGGTGGCCCCCACCACCAAGTGACTTGCTGATGTTTGCTAGAAGGAGAAATTAGAAGGTGCTTACCCTTTAATGGAAAGTATGTTTGTATGTCAGTGTCCTCCAATATGGGAAGTAGAATTTAGGGTTCCTTGGAGAGAGGCTCCAGGTCACTGGAGTACTTAAGCTCCTCCCCCATGCTTAGGCATTGAACCTAAGATGTGTGCCAGACAGTTACTCTGTCACGGAGTAATCGCTGTCCCTTCCCCTGCAGTGAGCTTTTTGAACAGCTTTCCCTCCCTGGGCTGTGGTGGCCAAAGAGGAAAGATCAGTGGATTGTATTCCCTTTGTTCCTTAGGTGACAGCGGGAAGGTGACCACAGTGGTAGCCACTCTAGGCCAAGGCCCAGAGCGTTCCCAAGAGGTGGCTTACACCGACATCAAAGTGATTGGCAATGGCTCGTTTGGAGTCGTGTACCAGGCACGGCTGGCAGAGACGAGGGAACTGGTGGCCATCAAGAAGGTTCTTCAGGACAAAAGGTTCAAGGTAGCTTGGGTGGACTGGAGGTTGGGGATTGGGAGTGACTGCCAGTTGTGCCCAGCAAGAGAGATGGTATCCGGAACTTAATGTTCTTAATATTAGTAATGTGTGCCATGATACACACGTGGAGGTCAGCAACTGTTGGGAGTTGGTTTTCCTACTACTGCGGAATCCAGGGATCGAACTCAGGTCATCAGGCTTGCATGGCAAGCACTTTTATCTATTGAAACATCTCACCAGCCTGAGTCTGGGATTTCAGTGGGACCTGAGCATGGACCTCAGGAGAGAGGAAGAAAGGGAATGAACTGGGAGGAAGCTGGGAAATGTAAATTCCAGAATAGCTGAGAGCTAATGTTTACTGGGCATCTCTTTAGTGTAAGTGCTTGACAGGCAAGTTCTAATTTGATTTACCTGAAGCATTTCTGAGGGCAGGTACTGCTGCTATTCCTGCCCTACATCAGCAGAAATGAGGCTGCATAGTAAGGGGCCCTTCAGGGGGAGGCTCTGGCCTGTTGACTCCCGAGTCCTTCTCCTCAACCACTTGGTCACATCTCTTCCAGAAGAAAAGGTCTGGTAAGGCTGATGCTGGTAGCTCTGAATGTCGTGCTCTGTCCCAGGTGTCGGCAGGTGCCCAATGGAATCTAGCCTTTTGATGCTCACTTGAGTCACTTGTCTGGGTGCAGGGAAGGGTTCTGTCTCTGGAGGAAAGGGTGCTCTGTGAGCTAGCAGAGGCCTGGGGAACTAACAGGAGAAAGAGAGGGAAGTGGAGGACTGTACCAGATTAGATGGGGTAACAGCCTGGGCCTGGGGCTGGTCAGTGAAGGCTCTTAGGAGGAGCTCTGGGGTGTCAGTCAGACCTTGATGGAGCTGAACTGCAGAGATGAGAGGGATCTGGGAAGACTTCTGAGGCCCTAGATGGGGACAGACAGTGGAAAGAGGCTCAGGCATGGAGTGGAAGATGAGATTGGAAGTATGGAGCCTAGGGTCTAAGCAAGAGTTGTGAGTAGCAGTACTCACAACTGAGAGGGTGATAGAGGGTGATGGGGGTCGGGGTGAACCAGGCAACCGCTGCTATCTATGGCTGCTTGTGCCCGTGTTTGGTGGTGATGTTTATGTGGTCTCATTTCTTTAGTTTTGGTGGTATGTGGGATTGAACCCAGAGGTTTGTGCATGCTGGGCAAGTGCTCTACCACTGAGCTAGCTAGATCCCTAGCACTCTTTTCTCTTTATTTTGACACAGAGCCGCACTAAGGTGTGTCTAGACTGTCCTTGAACTTGAAATCCTCTTGCCTTAGCCTTACGAATAGCTGTGTTCATAGGCCAGCACCACCAGGCCTAGCTTCAGTAAATTTTCCGAGAGATGCTGAGGGCTGGTGTTATGAAGGAAATAATTGAGCTTTCCATGTCAGCCAGCAGTAGTTAGGAAACTTCTAAGAAGCGGGTTGAAGTAAAGACATTGGTGGCCCAGGACTAACTGATCTATAGGCACCAGCTTGCATGTGAGGGGCAGGGGGCGGGGGTGAAGGACTAATCCTCCCTCCTCCCTCCCCAGGCTTTGGAGCCTTGAGTTTGGAACATAGGGAAGAGCTGCCTGCTCTGTTAGCAGAAATAGGTGTGGGGTGGAGGTGATGGTGCTGGGGCCAGAGGGAGGCAGGGAATCGGATGTATTGAGATTCTCCCTTTGCCCTCTAGAACCGAGAGCTGCAGATTATGCGTAAGCTGGACCACTGCAATATCGTGAGGCTACGGTACTTTTTCTACTCCAGTGGGGAGAAGGTGAGACATTGGGAATCTAAGGTGTGTAGGGGTATTGCCATACTCAGATGCTATCCATTTTCCTGCCTGCCTTTCCCAGGAGGTCCTGTCTGTCCCTCACTGTTCTCTGCACACCTTCCCTCTTCCCTTACAATGTTTCATCTCTCCTTTGCCCTCCAGAAAGATGAGCTGTATTTAAATCTGGTGCTGGAATATGTGCCCGAGACAGTGTACCGGGTGGCCCGTCACTTTACCAAGGCCAAGCTGATCATCCCTATCATCTATGTCAAGGTAGGCAGGCAGGCAGGCTGCTGGAGCACAGGCCCACAAAACCAGGGGCTCTGGGCCAACTATGCCTATGGGTTCCTTTATCTTCCAGTTAGGTTGGTCTTTGGAGGCCAACGCTCCCCATCCTCAGCCTTGTAGCTTGCAGATGGGTTTGGCTAAGTCCAGGGGAGGGCCAAGGCAAGGGCTTGCCAAGGAGGTGGAAAAGGAACTGCTCCACACAGTAGGACCATTGGGGTTGGGGTAAGTGCGAAAGCCTAGAGTCACAGGAAGGGTTGGTCACACAGAAGAGCCAGGCAGGCCTCTCCCGGTATCACCTGTGGGCCTGTTCATGGCTTCAGCACTTGTACCCAGGTGAGCTGATGCTGATGTGGGCTGTGCCTGTGGCTGCTGCTGCTGGGCTATCTCTACTGGGAGGGCAGTTCAGTTCTGAGTTGTGCTGTGGCTGCTCCTATGCTTAGCCAGTACTGAGCAGTTCCTGAGGCACAGCTGACTGAAACCCAGGCCTTGCCTGTGAAGAGCTGTTTGGCTGGGCATGGTGGTACACACTTTTTATCCCAACACTCAGGAGGCAGAGGCAGGAGGATCTCTGAGTCCAAGGCCATCCTGGTCTACATACTAAGCTCCAGGACAGCCAGGACTGTCTTTAAAACAAAGACCTGTGTTTGATGAGGTTATAGGCACCATCACAGACAATGATAAAGCTGAGGAGCTGCTGCTAATGTAGAGGGCCACGGGGAGTTCTGGAAACTGAACACCCCTTCCCTGCCTGGGGGCGAGAAAGACCAAGGAACGCTGGGAGGAGAGTAGTGTGATACAGGAACAGGAGGAGGGGGTCCCAGAAACAGCCTTGTGTGTCGAGGTACATACACATCAGGCCCAGGGGATGCAGGAGAGTGCAAACTCAAAGGTCCTGGCTGCATGTAGTGGTGCATGCCTGTAAATCCCAGCACTGAGGAGGCTAAGGCAGGAGGGTTGCAAGTTCAAGGCCAGCTTGGAAGCCAGTGTATGACCCTAGGTCCAAAAAATAAATGAATAAATAAATAAAAATTTAAAAAAAATTTCCAGAAAGGTTCCATGGGTAAAGATGCTTGCTACCAAATTTGAGAACCAATTACTGGGACTCACATGTTGAAAGAAAGAACCGACGTCAGCAAGTTGTCCTCTGATTGCCAGTTGTGGTCTGTGGCGAATGTGTAACCCCCTCCCCCAGGGGCGGGCATGTACACACCATCAAAATGTAATACAAATTAAAACTAAAAACCTTACTTAGGTTCTAGTCAGTGGGTGTAAGGCAGGCAGGAAATGAAGCTGGAGAAGAGCTGTCAGCAGGGGGTGGTTTTGGTGAGGGGGGAAGCAGAGTGCCTGGCCCACACCCTGTGTTATGGCAAGACCTTCTGGTGCCACTCCTGAGGCTCATGCTGGGGGTGACTGGGGCAGCAGTTCCCTATGTGGGGGCCAGGCCCAAGCCCAGCATGCCACCCTCAAGCTGCAGAATCAGAAATTGGGAATGAGGCCTTCTTGCCCATTCTGGTAAGTCCAAGTGATCGTGGCAGGCACTAAAGTTGTAGAACCAGGGGTTTCACACAGGGTTCAGGAACCGAGGCCAAAGGATAGCCGGCAGGGACAGTGGCCTGGTGGGGCCAACAATGCGCGTGTGGGAAGCAGTGGGCTGGAGCTGAGCTGTGCCCTGCCCATCGTAGGTGTACATGTACCAGCTCTTCCGGAGCTTGGCCTACATCCACTCCCAAGGTGTGTGTCACCGTGACATCAAGCCCCAGAATTTGCTTGTGGACCCCGACACTGCTGTCCTCAAGCTCTGCGACTTTGGCAGGTAGGTTTGACCTGGAGCCTGGGGGTGCCTAAGGGGTGAGAACCTCAGCCTTGGGTTTATGCTCAACCCTACCGTCTCTTCCCACAGTGCAAAGCAGTTGGTTCGGGGGGAGCCCAATGTTTCCTACATCTGTTCTCGGTACTACCGTGCCCCAGAGCTCATCTTCGGAGCCACAGATTACACCTCATCCATCGGTCAGTTAGGGGACGGGGACTGGGGAGTGGCAGTCTTGGCAGGTTTTGAGCTCTTGGGTACTGTTGCAGGCTTGGTGATGAAAGCTTACCGTCTGTTCCTACACTGGTCCTCACAGGCTGAGGAGGCTGGCGCTGGGGCATCTTGTTTGAGCAGCTAAGCAATGGAAGGCTGGATGCTGTGCCGCTCCCCTCCAGGGGCTCAACAGCTGGCCAGGGCAGGGCTGAAATTTCAAAACTGACTGCCTCTAGACCCTCCCAGTCAGCCTGTTCTGTTAGAGGGAACTGTTAGCAGGAGGGTATGGCCTGCTCCAGGGCCTGTCTTTTCTGTCCCGAGGGAAGGCTGAAATGTGAAAGGGTTGAAGGAGATGTCAGTCTGAGGAGGTGGTATGGTCTGCAGGTGTGAACTCTGAGCCAAGTGGCCCTGGAAGTTGAGGATCAGTTCCCAGTGTTCCCACTGGGGATGGTCCCGGGCCAGTACCGCTGAGACAGCCATGAGGAGCGAGCGAGCGGAGTGTGCACAGGAGTGGGCTTGGTGGCCCTGGCTGCCTGGTACTGACCTCTACCCTTCCCTCCAGATGTGTGGTCGGCTGGCTGCGTACTGGCTGAGCTGCTTCTTGGCCAGCCCATCTTCCCTGGGGACAGTGGGGTGGACCAGCTCGTGGAGATCATCAAGGTGAAGGCAGGGGCGGAGCCAGGGAGGGCAGGGGTGGTCCTAAGAAAGGGCCCTTGTCTCACCCCCCTCCCTTTCCTTTACAGGTACTAGGAACACCAACCCGGGAACAAATCCGAGAGATGAACCCCAACTACACAGAGTTCAAGTTCCCGCAGATCAAAGCTCACCCCTGGACAAAGGTAGCAGAACTAGGGACAGACACAGCATGGCTGGAGGGGTGGGTCCCCTTGGAGGCCCTGCTCTGGCCTGTGGGGTTGGAGACATGGCTCAGTGGTTAAGAGCACTTGTTACTGTTGCAGAGGACCTGGGTTCCAGTCCCAGCATCCACATGGCAGCTCACAACTACCTGTAAGCCAGTTGGATCCTACAGGCATGCAGGTGGTTAAGGCACATGCACGCAGGCACAACACTCATAAAGTAAAATAAACAGATCTAAGACATAACAATAAATTAAGGCTGGGGTGGGGTGGGGTGTCCTGAAGTTATCCAGGGAGTCAGTCAACAACACTTTCAGATTTTGAAGTTTATGGAATTTTAAAAGTTGAGAACCCATAGGTAAATACAAGATTCCCATTTATGTAGTGGCAAGGAAACCCAGCTCAGTGTTTATGCCTGTTTCCTTATTGGGGAGTTGGATTGTCAGGGAGGCAGGCAGCCACGGGTACGCACTATGAGGCACACCACACTGGGGCCACAGCACCCACCCACTTAACTCTACCCACAGGTGTTCAAATCTCGGACACCACCTGAGGCCATTGCGCTCTGCTCGAGCCTGCTGGAGTACACTCCATCCTCAAGGCTCTCCCCACTAGAGGCCTGTGCCCACAGCTTCTTTGATGAACTGCGGTGTCTCGGAACCCAGCTCCCCAACAACCGCCCGCTTCCCCCCCTCTTCAACTTCAGTCCTGGTGGTGAGAGCACAGCTTGGGCCTCGAGGAGTTGTTGGGGGGATGTGGAGAGACAGGACTGGGAGCTGAGAGGGTACAGGGCGGCCCTGGGCTCAGCCAGATGTTCCCACATTGTAGCTGGATGCCAAGGCCTTCTCCAGTTTACACTGGAGTCCCGTGGCTAACCACCTGGCCTTGCCGTAACTGGGTCCCCGTGGGTACCCCGTCCTAACCCTAACTGGCTTTCCGAATGCCCTGCCTCTCCCTGACTGGGCATGTGAATTCCTGTGTCTAGAGCTCTCCATCCAACCGTCTCTCAACGCCATCCTCATCCCTCCTCACTTGAGGTCCCCAGCAGGCCCTGCTGCCCTCACCTCGTCCTCACAAGGTAAGCTGGGGAGCACGTGTGTAGTGTTGAGGGCTCAAGCAGCGCCTGTGAAGTGGGGGCTGTCCTTGGTGACAGCAGCTTCCTACAGGTTTCCAGTCGGTGACATTTGATGGCACAGAAGGCGCATTTACAGTGTGTCAGCAGCCAGCTTTATCGGGCAGTACTGCCCACGTTTAAGTGCCAACTAGACGACCAAACATTTCTTGGTCTGAACAAATAAACAGAAAGTTGCCCACATTTAAAGATTGGGCCATTTTGGTTAAAAAACCAGATTTCCTGTTTCTTTGGGGAAGAAAATTGGATTTGGCAGCTGTGGTCTGCCTTTCTCCTGACAGCAGCTGGAGCTCTATCCAGCTGCCCCCTTCTCCTGTGGAGGGTGGCTCCCTGATGTGAGCCACTGTAGTGTCAAGCTGGCCCTTTGGCATCTGAGTCTGTAGCCCTGAACCTGAAGGGACAGCTGTCAGCTTCTTGCATAGTGTCTTGAAGGAAATTGTGCTCTCATGGGCATGGGGTGGGGTACGAGGCGAAGGCTAACTGTCCACTCCTTCCCTCTCCTTCTTCAGCTTTAACTGAGACTCAAACCGGCCCAGACTGGCAGGCACCTGATGCCACACCTACCCTCGCTAACTCTTCTTGAGGGCCCCACCAACTACCCCTCCACATCCATCTGGGAACTCCCAAGTGGGGCTGGGAAGGGGGGCCATAGCCCATCAAGCTCCTGCCCTGGCTGGGCCCCTAGACTAGAGGGCAGAGGTAAATGAACTCCTACCCCCAACATCTAGGCCCTCCCTCCCTCACCAGCCTCACCTTTGTGGGGGGCTTTTTAAAGAGGATTTTAACTGGTTGTGGGGAGGGAAGAGAAGGATGGACAGGGGATTTGGGGGTATGAGGACCTTCTACCCCCTTGGTCCCCTCCCCTCCCCCAGGCTACCACTCCTCCCCCCTCCCCCCCATGTCCCTTGTAAATAGAACCAGCCCAGCCCACCTCCTCTTCCCTTCCCTGGCCCCCTGGGTGTAAATAGATTGTTATAATTTTTTTCTTAAAGAAAAACGTCGATTCACACCATCCAACCTGCCCCCCTTCAGCTGTACCCCCCTCTTGTCCTCTGCTCCCAAGGCTTCCACCCTCTCCCCATCCTGGAAGGAGGGAGTAGGGAAGAGCCCCTGGTGTCTTAGTTTCCACAGTAAGGTTTGCCTGTGTACAGACCTCCGTTCAATAAATTATTGGCATGAAACCCTTCTTCCTGTCTGGCTGCCTGTTTCCACAGAGGTGAGGGGGTTCAGGGTTTGGAATAAGTTGTACCTTAGACAGGTGGACACCAAGAGGCTGGAAACCCCTAAAGCACTAGTACTTATCCACCACAGATGTGGGGCCTGCCCATGACCTCGCACAAACCAGCTGCTTCAGCTGGGGGAGGGTGACTGTCCTGGGTGACCAGGGAGACTGGAGTTCAGTGTTTGAAACCCCAGAACGTAAGGGGCAAAGTCAGGACTTGAACAAAGGGATGTCTTCTGCAGGGTCCAAGTGGGACCCTGGATGAGGAGTCTCTCAGGCTAAATGTCTGTCTGTAAACTCAGTGGGGTGGGTATGTATGGACAGGCAGATTCTTCCCAGGGCTTAACTCTGAAACACTTGCTTCACTTCTCTTAGGGATGAGGTAGAGAGCTTAGTTTCTCTCTCTTTTTTGAGGTGGTCTTCCAATTATAGCCCAAGTCTGCCTGGAACTAGAGATGATTTTGCGTTAGGTTCCCAAATGCTGTGATTGCAGGCTTGTGCCACCTTGCCTGGATTTTCCCCTTGACTTTTAAAATATGCTGGAGCCAGATGGTGGGGACCATGGGCAGAAGGAAATGGTATCTCCACATGGTGCCAAGCAGTGAGTGGGTAGGAGGCTCCAGAAAGGGAGGGAACAACTTTGGGTCCTCCTGATGGAGTCTACTGATGCACAGAAAGGAATTTTGGAACACATCCTTGAGGGATTCTAAGATTTCTGGGCTCTGCTAGACACTTCCATCAGCCCCAGGGGTACCTGTCTCCCCTGCAGGACAGACCTTATCCTTTTGCTCAAGCCAGTTATGAAGTAGGGTGAGAATGGCTGACTTGCGCTAAGGGATGGACCTACTCGTTCACTGGTCACTGAGGTGGTCTACCAACTTGACCCTAAAGTCCCTACTCAGTTCTGTTCATCCTCTCTTGGACCACTGCCAGCCTCACACTCTTCTTGCTCTGATCCAGGGAGACATGACACCCTCCCTGTGACATGCCTTCAACGACTCACCCCAACTTCCAAAGCCTGGGCATATCTCCCAGACAATGTCCAGCCCCAGCAACATTCTGCTTCTCTTGTTGGAGCATTATGGTCTGCCAAGGCCTGGGGGAGCCCTGCCCTACTGGTCTCCTATACTCAGGGAGGGGAAGGACACCCTATGAAAAACAGGATCCCTTCCTGTTTCCAAGGCCCCTCAAATCCCAAATGCTCCATGACACTGCCTTCTCCAGGGGAATAAACCCCGGACATGTGACATCTTTGGGCTTTAGATCTTACTCAGAACAATACAGATGGTCCTAAGAACTGCGTTCAAATCTGACGACACCTCTACCCAGCGTGAGACTTCCTGTTTCCTTACTTACACAAGAGGGATGACATACACGTTCTATCTCCGGCCTGATGGACAATGCTAAGTGTCCTGCTTCAGAATGCCAGGCAGTCGGTGTTCACTGCAACTATAACTGGATGTCCTGTCTGGAATGTTCTTCTCCACTGGCAGATTCCTGCTTTTACTTCAGGAACTGGGCCACTAGGAGTCTCTCACTCTTGATCATTTCCTATGGAGGCTTGCTCCCTATTCTCAGATCCCACTGTCCCTACACTTTCCCATCACAGCCCAGAGATCCTGAGGCCTGACTTGCCGCTGGCCTGTAGCACCACGGCCCGTGTGAGGGAAGCCTTGAGCACAGAGGCTGAAAGAACTAGTGGCAGCCCTCAGACAAACTGTACTTCAGTCTGTCGCTCCTGCTGGACAGAGGATGCCTGAGTTCAGAGCTGTGTCTGGTTCATTCCTGGGTCTTCATCATCACCCAATCTGAGCTGAGTATTGGGGGTACCTACAGATTTCTTTTCATATCGTCAAAACTGAGAAGAAGCAAGCTCAGAGGAACTTCGCACCTTCCTGTACCCAGCAGAGCTAAGTCCCAGGCACCCGAAGTCCAGGGGAAGGTGTGTGTGTTGGGGGGTGGGTTTACGAGCAGATCTGAAGAGGTATATGAGAGTGTGTGGCACAGGCCTGGCATATGGTTGGTGCTCATAAAGGTTACCTGGTGTTGCTGAGCACTGGGTGATGCTGTGCAAACAGCCTTGGAAACCCTGTTTCTGCAACAAAGCAGCGGAGGCTGAGACAGATCACATCTCTTCACAGACCTTCAGTTTCACCGTGGGCAGAGAGGTGACAGGAGAAACCTGGCAGGGTTGTTCTGAAGAGGCCAGCAGGGTGGACTCTGCCATGTGGGTGCCAGGTGGGCTCACCAGAGGGGTCCTCTTCTCCCGAGGGCCCACACTCAATCTTGCAACCGAACCTGTCATTTCTCTTGCACACTCTCACACGAAGGCGGTGTCCAGCTGCAGCAGTCCACTGGCCTCACTGGCACCCAGTGCTGCCTGGCACAGCTGCAGTGTATCCTCCAGGGCCAGTGGCTGGGAAGTCTCAATGATGGCGATGGTCTCTCCAAGCTCCGTGCACATGATGGTCTGCTGAGGTTCAGGGGGTGGGGGTGGGACAGGAGAGGGTGACCTGGGAGGCTGCAGTGTCAAAGTCCTGGCTCGGGCATGGACCCGCTGATGTAGTCGCAGGCCTGCCATGGCGCGGAACCAGCGGCCACAGGTTCCGCAGTAGTAGGGGCTCTTGTTGTAGAGACCGGTGATGGGAAGACGAGGGGCACGTGCAAAGGCCACTGGCCGTAGGTGTAGCCGCCGGTGCTGCTGTAGGTTGGAGCTCTGTGTGAAGCGCTTGCCGCAGTCCAGGCACTGGTAGGGACGCACGCCTGTGTGGGTCAGCTGGTGGCGGCTGAGGTTGGCTAAGGAAGCGAAGGTCTTGCCGCAGGAGTGACACTGGAAGGGCCTCTCGCCTGTGTGTGTCCGCAGGTGGTTGCGCACATGGACCAGCTTCTTGAAGCCCTTGCCACACACCCCGCACCTGTGCCGGCGTTCAGGGGGGCCGTGCACGGCACGCCGGTGCCTGGAAAGCCGGGAGGCCGAGGCAAAGGACTTGGGGCACTGTGGACAGGGCAGCTGGGCAGGCGGGGGTGGAGGTGGGGGCGTGGGCTCCGCCGGAGCCGGGGAGCCAGCTGCTGCCCTGGTGGGGGTTCCGCTTTTGCCGGTGTGCGTTCGCCGGTGGTAAAGGAACTTGGTCATGTTGCTGAAGGTCTTGCCGCAGCGGCAGCGGTGCAGTGGGTTGGCAGTGTGGGCCCGCCGGTGGGCCACCAGTGTGAGCTCAGTGCCGAAGCCACGGCCGCAGTCCACACACAGGTAGCGGGCCTCCCCGAGGTGCAGCCGCTGGTGCTGCTCCAGAGAGGCCGCCTTCTTGAAGACCTTGGAGCAGGTAGTACACTCGTGGGTGCCACCCACGTGGGCCCGTCCATGAGCCACCAGCCTGTTGGCAGAGCTGAAGCTGCGCTGACACTGGCTGCAGTGGTAGGGGTGGGTGGCAGATGCTAGGCCCCGAGATGCCCGTCGGTGTCGGCGGCGTGCACCTGAGGAGGCGCAGTGCTGGGAACAATCCCCACAGCCCTGAGCTGGATCCGCGGTGGACCTGTCACCTCCCGTGTCATCAGCAGTGAGCTCTGCAGCGGCTTCCTCCTCCTCTGACTCTTCCTCCTCCTCCTCCTCCTCCCCTTCCTCCTCCTCTTCCTCCAACCCATTGCGCTCTTCTTTCTCCAGGGAGTCAAAGTGAGTGCCCTGGTGCTCCAAGAACTCTTCAGGGGTGGCGCAGAGGGTGGAACACTCCGGACACTCATAGGGCTCCATCTTGACTTCTGCCGGCGGGGGTGGCGGGGTTGGGGGAGGCAAAGGAGGCAGCACTGGAGGCTCGTCTGCCGTACTGGAAAGGTGCTGTGTCTTCCGATGAGCTACCCACAGCTCCGGTGAGGGGAAGAGCTCCTGGCAGTCTCCACACTGGTACTGGATCTGGCTCGCAGACTCCTGCAGGTGGGCATCCTGGTGTGCCAGGAGCTCACTGGGGGAGAGGATGAGCTGGCTGCATTCACCACACTGGAAAGGCCCCTCCCCAGTGCCAGGCACTAGCTCAGGCTCCAGGCCCGCGTCCTGGGTAGTCAGCACCTCCTCCTCTGCCATGGTGGGCAGGTGTTGCTCCTGGTGGGAGAGGACTTCCTCCAGGGTGTTGTAGAGGCTGCCACACTCAGAGCACATGAACTGGTGGTGCTGGAAGAAGAGGGACGAGGCCAGGGCCTCCCCGGGGGTCATCTCAGTCACTGCTGTTGCCAGCTCCGCCAGCGCTCCGGACACAGGGGTGGAAATTTCCACTGATCCCGGTGACGGTGTTGGCATCTCAGCTGCCTCTGCCACCATCTCTGCCATTCTGGGGAAGGCAGTGCCTGGAGAAAGAGGGGCAGGAGCCAGTGGTACGCCAGGAACCCAAGGGGAGTGGGGTGCAGGCGTTCCCTTGCTCACTCCAGTACTCACCCGTCTGTCAATCCAGTCTTACTTCAGTGTTTATACCTCAGTCTTTCATGATCCCGTGTCTCAGCCTGTCGCAGCTACTACAGGAGGGTATCTGCAAGACAGAGTGGGTACTCTGGAGCCTGGCCTCTGATGCTGCCCCCTCAGAGACATGCGCACGTGCGCGCGTGTGTACACATACACACACACACCCACACACACCCCTCTCAGTCTTTGCCCATGAGGTTTCCTCTCTGTGCAGCCCCTTTCCTGTTCTGGTATGCTTGCATGGCAAAGCATTTAAAAGAGTGAAAACTACACCTCCCTCAGCTTGAATCTGAGCTCCTTTTTTTTCCGAGACAGGGTTTCTCTGTGTAAGAGCCCTGGCTGTCCTGGAAGGCTGGCCTCGAACTCCTGAGTGCTGGGATTAAAGGCATGCACCACCACTGCCTGGCTCTTGAGCTCTCCCTTTTTACTTCCTCTCTCGAGACAGTTTTCTCACCTGTAAAATGGAACTAAAAGACGGACTGACCACAAAACTAAGGTACTTCGTTAACAAAAGCCAATACCTGGGTTTGTATGCAGCCCAGGCTGGCCTCAAACTCACTATGCAGTAGAGGATAGCTTTGAAGTGATCCTTCTGCATCAGCCTCCCAGTTCTGAGATCACAGGTGTGCACTATCACACTTAGCACCTAGGATATAAAACTCTCAGATCTTGCTGCGCGGTGGTGGTACACGCTTTTAATCCCAGCACTTGAGAGGCAGGTGGATCTCTGTGAGTTCAAGGCCTGTGAACTCATCCTGCCTCTGCCTCCCGAGTGCTGGGATTAAAGGCGTGAGCCACCACCCGGCTTCAATCCCCATCTTTTTAAAGGACAGTTTATTTTTACTTTATTACACTTATTAGGTGAGGGCAAATGTATAGACTATGGTAAGATGAGAACTTGCAGGATTTGGTTCTATCATGCATGTTCTGAGATGAAACTCAGGTCATCAGGCTTAGTGTCAATTGCCTTTACCCGCTGAACCATCTTGAAGCCCCCCCCCCAAACATTTTTTGCCTATGTTACTGTGTGTCTGTATGCATGAGTACATGCCATGGCATACATGTGGAGTTCATCCTTTCCCTGCAACATTTATGTGGATTCCAAGGATTGAACTTGGGTTACCAGGATTGCGTGGCATGCACCTTTACCTGCTGGGCCATCTTGCTGGCCCCTGCTTTTGGTTTTTGTTTTTGAAACAGGAGTTTATATGTACCTAGGCTGGCCCTGACCTCAGTATGTACACAGCGGAGTCTGGTTCTCAGTTTTGTTTCCTCCCAAGTGCCAATGGCCACCTTCTTTACCTCTTCACTTCCGTTTGTGTCTGAAACAAGTAGACTCTGCTGGTAGCCCTGGTATAGAGGCTGCTCATGGACTGATCCCAGAGGTCAGCAATCTTAGCTTCTTCATCACTGAGGTGTTTCCAATGCCAAGAAAGGCACATGTTTTCAATGCCCAGCATATAGTAGGCACACAGGAGTATTCAGTGACTGAATAAGGCTCCCTATAGGAAGTGAGGTACTGGGACCTTAATCATCCCTCTGCACACTGCACTTCTACCAACTCAACTCTCCCATTCTATGCATTTCCACAGTACACAGCCCAGCACAAGGCCCTGTTTTTAGCTGATGCGCAATGAATGCTCTGTGAATAAATGATTTGCTAAATGTTCAGGAGCTAAACTTTCCTTATCTACCAATTCCAAATCTCCCGTTAAGTGGGTTTTGTTTGGAGACATCTAGCCCTGGCTGGTCTAGAACTCACCATGTAGAGCAGGTGGCCTCAAACTCACAGAAATCTACCTACTTCTACCTCTTCAGTGCTGGCATTGGAAGCATGTGCCACTACACCTGGCTCATTAGGTTTGAACCATTCCATAAAAGATTTTTCTAAAAACAGTTAAACAGGGCTGGGGCTGGGGGGTGGTGGCAGGAGGTGGAAAGTTGCATTTTGCCTTGATTACATCCCCACTGGCAAGACAGAATTACTTCTGGGTGTTGGATTAGAGCATGCTACTTGGCTTGAACCAGGAAGGCGTGGATGGACAAACTTTAAAAAGTCCCATGAGCTCACACAAATAAAAGGATGGTACATAGGAGCCAATCCACCATGAATCTCATCTAAAAAACAAAACCCTGCCAAAACTCATTTAACAACACGGACACAATCCTAAGAAACGTCTTCCTAGAAAGTAGCCCAGGTAACCTGAAGTTGGCACTTTTCTTGCCTGCATGCCTGAGTCAGGGTAGGTGGAATTCAGCGTAAACCTCTGTATACAGAAAGTCGATCTGAGCACCTCCACCAGGGGCCGGAAAGTTCAACTTTCCCGCTACACTGCCCTTTTCTCCGACCAGACTGCTCTGCAGCGTGAGGGCCCCCTGCAGGGGTCGTGTGTGCAAGTGAGCTCAGGCTGGGTCCTGCACACACCAGGGGCTCCACCGACGCCTCCAGGGCACACAGGAAGGAGCTGTCGATCATCCCGCGCTACTCCAGCCCTGATCGCAGGCCCCAAGGCTCTCCGACCCTTACCGTGCCCTCCCGTCTTCCTCCACTGTCCCCCGACGCCTAGCGCTCTCTTGCCCGCCCGCCCCGCGGCGCCCTCACCCATCTCTCTTACCTCCAAGCAGCCCCTGCCGCTCTTGACACGGACCCTCCGCAGCAGGCGTGTGGGACCCCTCACTATCCACGCCTCCCATTGGGCGGCGCCCTCACCCGAGGCAGCCAATCAGAGCTGGTAGCGCAGGGCACGCGCCCCCGCGCCTGCGTGTTGGTCCTCAGGCGGGGCTTCCAGAGTTTCTCCACGCAGACATCAGTGCCCTGTGGGCGGTGCCCGGGCCCAGGGGAGGCGCCTGCGCAGTTCGCCCGTGCCGCTCCTTTCCTGCTGTTTGAAAATTCAGAGGAGAGGAGTGTGCGTCCTTACAGAGCGGGGTCTCATGAGTGAACCGGGCGAGACCTTGACAGGTAGCATCTCTTGGCGGAAGAGACGGAGCGTCTCTGAAGCATAGCTTCAAAGCCAGACACACTTGAGGCACTTTTCTGGGCCGCCTCAGTTTTACTCATATGTAAAGTGGGCTTGAATCACATCCGCCTGGAAGGCTATTCGAGGCATTGGACGTTTTCATATAGGTAAAAACGTTCAGATCGCCGGACGGCGGTGGCGCACGCCTTTAATCCCAGCACTCGGGAGGCAGAGGCAGGCGGATCTCTGTGAGTTCGAGGCCAGACTGGTCTACAGAGCGAGATCCAGGACAGGCACTTAAACTACACAGAGAAACCTTGTCTCGAAAAACCAAAAAAAAAAAAAAAACAGCTCAGGGCCCGATTCCCTGTGGGTACCCGGTATAACCCACCTATCATAGAAACCTTCCCGTTTATAAACGGCTTTCCCTTCCTCTCGTTCTTCGTCCGATTCAATGATAGTCACACAGAGAGCACACGACACACAGTGTTTCCACTGCCGTCCGTTTCACAGGTGGAAAAGCCAGGGTCCAGAGGAAGGAAACAGCCAGTATCGAGCCGGTGCTTCCAGCCAAGGTCTCCCGCCTCTCAGGGAGATAATTCCCGGGGTGGAGATCCGTCGGGGAAGAGACCTGTCTCCGGCACGTGCTGGCCTTGACCTTGAGTCACCTAAGTGGGGAGGAGGAGCGGCCGTCACGCCCCAGGCCCCGTGCAGGGGACGCGAAGACAGGAAGACTCTGTAGCCTCCACTTACTTCTCGGACAGGCTTGCTCTCCTAGATGCAGACTAGGGGAGCTTCTGAGTAGCTCCGAGACCCAAGAGGGCAGAGAAAAAAAGCGACTGTATAGACGAGCGGTTCTACCCCTGGGTGTGGGTGTCTGTGATGGGAGGTCTGGATGGACGTCTTTGGAGTGTGCACCTAGGGGTGAGGGGTCTGTTGCAAAGAGGTATCGTTCTCGTGCATGCGACTGGGTGATTTATACACTGGGGCTGGGGAGCTGGATGAGGGAGGATTTCCAGATAGGCTCTGAGACAGCAGAGTTGAGGTGTAGATGCAGCCCGGCTGGGTTGTGGTACTGTAATAAAAGTCCGGATTGTTAGCTCTACGAGCTCCTGGGAGCCCTGGCCCTCGTTTCTGTTGGACTTTGCGCCGGCAGCTGGTGGCATTAGTCATGTGGGCGTTTAGGTCGTGATCAGGAGGGGGATGTAGTCTATGGGATAATTCCAACAGGTCACGTCGTGGGATCCCAGGGACACACAGCGAAACGATCGAGTGCCAGCTTAGCGCTGCCGCTGCGCAAGCGCGGCACGGGCGAACAGGGACGCTTGGGCTGGGGGGCCGATCAGGCGGCCTGGAGGGGTGGGGCTTGGGGGCCTCATTCTGCGCTTGCGCCCTAGGGGCGTGGCGGTCGCACCTGCGCGAGTTGGGCAAAGGAGGAGGAGCGAGGTGACGCAGGCGTAATAATAGAGAAGGTGCCAGAAAGATTCAAAACAAGTGGCTGCGGCCGTCGCCCAGGAGTCCGCGGACGCCGGAATCTGGTGAGGATCCAGAGAGGCCTTAGGGCGTTTGGTGGCGGGCAGATGGAACCACTTGGGTGCTGGGGTGAGGGCAGGACAGATCGCCCTTGTAGGGCGAGGGGCCGGGTTCAGACGGTACCACCTGAGCGCAGCGAGCTCGGGGCTGTCTTTGTGGGTCGCGCTTGCAGAGGTCCGAGGGTCACTTTTGAGCGGCACCACTTGGGTGGGGGCGTTGGGGCTCGCTGGAAGGTACGAGTGGTCAGAACCAAGGGCCACGGCTGGACATTTGCCACCCCAAGTCACCGGGCCGTGGACAAGGTGCCCCGCGGTGGGCCGTGAGGCTCGTTCGGGCTGATGTCCTAGGTCGGTCGGTGGCAGGTTCGGAACGTACCACCTGGAGAGGGGGCGTCTGGGCCCGGCCGGCCCGACTGGCCAGTGCCCCGGTGGGGTCTGGCGTCTCGACCTGTTACCAGGGGACCTCGGGCGATACCATTCCTGCCAGCGAGAGGGGGAGGCTGAGACCGTTGAGGGTGTGGGGCGACCCTGCCCGGGGACACCTCGCGGGGGCCACACGCTGGCCTGTGTGGGCTCTGGGCCACCGCGTCGCTGACCACGACATCCTCCCCGCCGTGTGGGTTCTAGGCCCTGGTTCTGAGCTTGTTCCGCACCCCTCCCCTGGGAATGGCGTTGTCCGGGTCGACCCCGGCCCCGAGCTGGGAGGAGGATGAGTGTTTGGATTACTACGGCATGCTGTCGCTTCACCGTATGTTCGAGGTGGTGGGCGGGCAGCTGACCGAGTGCGAACTGGAGCTCCTGGCCTTTCTGCTGGATGAGGCCCCCGGCGCCCCTGGAGGCCTGGCCCGCGCCCGCAGCGGCCTGGAGCTGCTTCTGGAGCTGGAACGCCGTGGGCAGTGCGACGAGAGCAACCTGCGGCTGCTGAGCCAACTCCTGCGCGTGCTGGCCCGCCACGACCTACTGCCACATCTGGCCCGCAAGCGGCGCCGGCCAGGTAAGGTTTGAATGGGAGGTTGCAGGACTTCTGGGACCAGAACACCTTGCTCCCACTGGGCCCCTGTGGTGCCCTGATACCGATTTCAGCCCCCACCCCGCAACCCTTCTCTAAAATGAGAAACCTAAAAGGCAGGCTTAGGTAGGAGCGAACTTGTGGAATTGGGCCATATCAGTAATGATTGTGTGTGGAACTTTGTATGCCAGGCAGAGGTAAACCTTCCATATGAACTGTCACCTTATCGCCTGCTACCGCACCGAGAAAACAACAGGCTCAGAGAAGTTACCTTGTTGCATGGGAGAACTTCATGTTGGCCACAGAGGAAATAAGACCAAGATGTCCGTTCTCTGAAGCTTGCATTAGTAGAGGGAGTCAATTAATAATAATAATAATAATAAAAAAAGGAACTTGGCTTTAGATACAGTCATAGATTGAGTGAGATGGATCAAAAAGAGAGGAGGTGGCCCTAAACTGGGTAACGATGAAGGAATTCTCTTCTAAGAAAATGGCGTTGTAAATGGGGGTGTGGAGCATGAACATACATCACACACATAACATATGTAGCAAGTAAGGGGACCAGGATTCAAACCTGCCTGTCCTGTCTCCAGGGTTGAGGCCCTTGATCCCTGGGCAGGAAGGGAAGAGTGGGAGGGGTCAGGTAGCAGGAGGCCTGTGTATAGGTAGGCTGTTGGGCTCTTTCTTGGTAGATACAGTACGGCGGTTGGGGAGGGGTGACTATGAGCTTTCCTGTCCCATAATAAGCCTGTAGGATTTGCGTGAACAGAAGGGCACCTCTAGGGGTAGACTGTCTGATTTTGGAAAAATATGTCCGAGTGTCAGGCTCTAGAAGAGAGGCAGGCAGAAAGGCATGCCTGTATCTGGGGGCTCCCGAGCAAGCCAGGAGCAGATGGGGTATGCAGGAACCCATGGGTTGGGCAGCCCCATGAGTACTGTGTCCTGGGAGGCCTCTGAGCAACCTGTGGACAAGGGGTGCTTGAGAAGGAGGGGGTGTTTGGGTGTGACCTGAGGGCCAGGGTTAGGCATCCTGTGGTCCAGGCTTTCTTCCTAGGAGGCTAGGCCTGGGAGGTAGGGAAGGTGGGAATACGTCTTCCGTTCTCTTTCCCCAGTGTCCCCTGAGCGATACAGTTATGGCAGTTCCGGCTCTTCTTCCGAAAGGACAGAGGGCAGTTGCCGGCGCCGGCGACAGTCGAGCAGTTCTGATTCTCAGCCGAGTCAGTGGGACACAGGTGAGCCCACTGGGTGGGTAGGGTGATGGTGTCCTGTCTTCTTCTCAAACCGTGATAACCTCCTGCATCCTGGCCCAACAAGGGAATGGCCTGAAGGGTCATTCTGTCTGTTTGCAGTGTGTCTGTGTTTATTATTGCTATAGGAAGAAGCATGTGTCCTGAAGCGGCAGAGTTATGTCACAGGGACTCACGTTTCACTCAAATGGCATCATGTTGAGGCATGTGACCTGGCAGCCTTGGCTGGCCACATTTCTGAGATTTATTTTATGGCGAATGCCTTTCATTAGTTCAATTACTATATTCCAGTCTATGTACATAATCCCTTTCCCCCTAATTTTTAATTATGTAAAGTCTCAAACATCCAGAGAAGTTAAGATGGTACAGAGAATATCTTCACTTGAATTCAGGGATCACTAACATTCTGCCACTGTAGTGTGTGTGTGTGTGTGTGTGTGTGTGTGTGTGTGTGTGTGTGTGTGTAAAATTCTGAGGTTTCTGTTGAGCTCTTGGGTAGTGAATTACAGACATCAGTAGACTTGCCTCTGAATTAGCTGTCATAATTTGAGAATAAGTTTTCCTCTGCTGTTTCAAGATCATTATCACACACACATATGGTCTACTTTCAGACTTCTTAAGGTCTGTGAGGTTTCAGAGTCTGTTTATATTGTTTGTTGTGTATGCAACTTAAAAAAACAAACAAACCCTAATGATTATTATTTTGAGATGGAGTCTCATCCTGTAGCCAAGGCTGGCTTGGAATTCACTTTGTATGTACCCCAGAGTTACTACCTACAACTAGAGCAGTGGTTCTCAACCTGTGGGTCATGATCCCTTTGAAGGGTTGTCAAATGACCCTCTCACAGGAATCACCCAAGACCATCAGAAAACACAGCTATTTACACTATGATTTGTAACAGTAGCAAAATTATGGTTAGGAAGTAGCAACGAAAATGATTGTATGGTTGAGGGTCACCACAACATAAGGAACTGTGTTAAAGGATCACAGCACTAGGAAGGTTGAGAACCACTGAACTAGAGGCAATCCTCCAGCCTCATCCTTCCCAGTATTGGAATCAGAGCTGTGAGCCGCCATGCCCAACTGGCATGCAGTGGTCTTCTAACCTCTATAGAATAGAAACTTCTTCCTTACAGGCAGACAGATGGACTGATGGACCTGTCTACCTTCTTTTCTTCTGGGGCTGGACCTGGGACCTCGGTCTCCTGTATGCTGCTGACTGCCCTCCCTCTGTACCTCTAAACCCCAACTCCACCCCTCCTCCCCTGCCCAGAGTGTTGTGACTTGTCCACCTACAGGGCTGCTTGGTGTGCACACCATTCTGATTGCTTCTGGTTGTCACATGATGGTGTCCTTCTCTTGTCTCTCGGTCCTCCTGTGGAGTGGGAATTAGGTGCAAAGGATTGGTTAGATTGGGGTGACACGTTTTTGGCTGGAATGCTCCTTGATCAGTGCGGTCTCCTTGTGTTGGTGCCTGTCATGAAGTTTTCACTGAAATAGAGACATGTCGTCAGTTGGCTCTGGCCCAATGTGTATGTTGTGAAGTGACTGCTTTGGGGGGTGGGGTGTATTGATGTGTGATGTGCTTATATGTGTATCTGTGTGTGGGTCCACGTTCACTGTGTGCGTGTCTGTGGGGAGGCTAGACGTGTGTGGAGAAGCACTAGCTGTCTTGCTCATTCACACTCTGTTTATGGGACAGGGTCTCTGGCTGACCCTAGAGCCAGCTTGCCCTGGGAATCCTGTCTCTGCCTCCTGAGCACTGGGGCTACAGGCGGGCCTCCAAGCATATGCTGATATGCTGCCTGGGCAGCAGGCACATTATCCACCCGCGAGGCTCAGTGAAGAGATGTAACTTTCTTGCAATGGTTAGTAGTGTATAAGATGATGCTCTGTAGCTTGCTCTGCACTCAGTTGTCCCTGGACAGGGGCGGGGTAGCGGTGGTGTAAGATCATTCTGTGAACGCTGCCTGAACCATTTACCATACCAGTGTTTGTAAACGGTGACTCACTTGTTTATCTGCTTGTTTGTTTGGCACTTTTCCACAAAAATCAACTTGAAACAGGTTCTCACTTGCCCAGATCCCCTTGCTTCAGCCTACCTAGTAGCTGAGATTACTGTTTTGTGCCATGAGGCTGGAACATTGAGTAATTTAAACAATGTAATGTTTTTGTTTTTAAATAGTTTCTGTGTTTATGGTGCTAGAGATTAAACCCAGGGCTCTGTTCATTCTAGGCAGGGCTGCTATCACTAAGCTCTGCCCCCAGAGCCTCGTGGTGGGATTTTAGACAGGAGCTCTACAGTCGAGCTGCTCTCCAGCCCTTCTTTTCTCTTTCCAATTTAACACAGGGTATCACTAAGTAGTCCCGGCTGGCCTGAAACTCAGAGGAGCTGCACCTGCCTCTGCCTCCTGAGTGCTGGAATCAGAGGCGTGTGCACACGGCCTGCCTCTGTTTACTTTGTTATGGTCAATTAGTCACTCTTGCCAGCATTGAGGCTGCTTGGGCTCTGTCCTGTGGACATGTCTGCATCACTCTCTGCATGCTCTGTACTTTATGACATTCCAGAGTGTCCTGGGTACTTCTCACCCGCAAAGTCATCTGCTTGTCAGGAGCCTGGTTTCTGTTAGAGCCTCAATATTTAGAGACCAATAGCTGCTGGTGGTGTGTGCCCTGCTTCTCAGCTGCATGGGAAAGCGGATGAAAACGTTCCTCCGAGCTGGGTTTGGTGGCCCGTGCCTGTAATCCTTGAGGCTTTTAAATTTGCTTTTAATTATGTGTATGTTTTGGGTTTGTACGCTTGAGTGCTGGTCCCCAAGGAGTCCAGAAGAAGGTGTCGGTTACGATACAGCCGCAGTCACTCGTGGTTTCAGGTCTCTTCAGGCAGGTGTGCTGGGGACTGAACTTGCGCCCTAACTGCTGAGCTGTCTCCTGGGCCCCTGGCTTTTTTCTTCCATGGTGGAAATCTTGGTGTTGATGCTGGAATGGGTTTACTTCCTTTTTTTACAATAGTAGTGAGGTGACACCAGATTTTATCTGGAGAGGTTCATTTGTTCCTGATGTATTCTTCTAGGACGTGCAGGGGGAGGAACATGTAAGGAACATTCTGATTTCCTCTTGTCTGCCAAGAGTTGCAAACTATACACATTTGTTTTATTACATCTTTTCCTCCTTCCTTTTTTGTAAATTTTTCCAACTCCATTTTCCTTTAAGATCTTAATGCTTGTGTGTGTGTGTGTGTGTGTGTGTGTGTGTGTGTATTTGTTTGTGTGCGCGCGCACTGAGCTCACTTGCATGCACATGCTGTGGGGGTTCGTGGCGCACACATATGAATGTAGAGCACAGCTCTGTGGAGTGGCCTCTCTTTCCCCCTTCATGTGGTTCTAGAGATTGAACTCTGGTCACGGTTCTGAGCAGCAAGCTCCTTTTCCCACTGCGCCGTCTCTGCAGCTCTTTTTGGTGATCTTTTGGTTGTAAGGCACCGTTTTGTTGTCTAGTCCACACTGGAATTCCTTGATCTTCTAACTCAGCCTCATTCTCCACTGTCAGCATCCATTGGATGAAGCACAAGATCGGTTTGTATTTATTCTGAGGGAGAGTGTGTGCGTGCGTGCGTGCGTTAGATAACACTCTACCACTGAGCTATATCCTCAGCTTCTCTTTTTTGGGTTGGGGGATTGGGGGTAAGAAGTTAAGACAGAGTCTCTTAGAGCCAGGCTGGCCTTGAACTCCTAATCCTTCTGCTTGTACCCCAAGTACTGAGATTACAGGTGTGTGCCACTGTACTCTGCTTTTTCCTGAGAAATGATGGGGTCATACCAGTTCTGCTGTGAACATGTCGGCCCCTCTAGGGTCAGACCTGCAAGGGTCTACTGTGTAGTGGCTTATGCACGTTCACCCTTACAGATAATGGTAGGTGGCCCCTCTTCTAGACCCCTCTTCTAGACAAGACCACTCGTAGAAGGCTCCCCCACAGGCTCACTGCACCAAGAGAAGCCTTCTGCTTCTCCTGAACACCCCCTTGGTATTCTTTCTTCCTGGTCCTGAGCTGGTTCTCCTCTGTCCTTCAGGCTCCCCTCCAACCAAACGGCAGCGTCGGAGTCGGGGCCGCCCTAGCAGTGGTGCCAGGCGGCGGAGAAGAGTGGGCCCAGCAGTCACACAG